ATTTGAGATTATTTATTATTATTAATATTATTTCTAGTTATTATTATTATTATTATTATTATCATTATTTATTAAATGCCTAAATGCTTATTAAATAATTAATGTGTGTACTATTTATATAAATAATATCCAATTTTTATTTTAAATTTTCGATCGAACCGAGCTAATTTTTGGGCAAAATTGAGCCCGAAAAATAGCAAAACCGAGAACTCGCGACCAGGACCGCGCGTCCAATTAAACCGCATGCCCTAAGCCCGACTAAGCCGAACCGGTTTTCCTTTTTGGCCCGACCCGGTTTCTCCTTGTGAGTGTGTGTGCGTCTTCTTACTTGTCAAGATTTTTAAACACTAGGCTCATTTTAAGAGCCCGTCATATCATTCTCTCTCGCTCAAAAATCAGAACACGTGCCGCAGTCTTCAATCTTTTCTCTCGCACCCTCGCCAGAAAAAGAAAACCCGCCGCAGCCCCTCATCTCTTCTCTCTCGTTGTTGTCCTTCGCCACCACCCTCAAGCTCTCTTCTCTCTCATGCAAGAAGCGATCGTCGAGCCCTCCTCGCGAGTTCGCCGTCCTCGCAAGTTGAAGTTCCGACGAGCAACTCTATCAGCGCAGCGCCTCCGGTGGAACCTCCTCCGCGCGCAAACGACCCCAAACAGCGAAGCCAGTGAGCCCCTGCAACATCGGCGAGTTCTCTTCCCTCCACGAGCCGTCGCGATCAGTTTCCCGGCAAAACCCTTGACGACGGGAACCTCTGCAGTAACGCCACGATCCGCCACTCCTCTCCTCCGCGAACAACCAGTGAACCGAGGGCCACCATCTTTTCCGGCGATCAGACCAGCGCTGACGATCTATCGCCGGCGCGACCATGTTCGACCCGACCCTCACAGCGGCTGAGCTCTTCTGTTCGACGGCGAGGACGACCCTTGCAGCGAGCCGATCGCTGCACAGCTCCTCCATGAGCCGCCGTCCTCAGCCGCTGCCCCTTCGCGAGCCGCGCGTAGCCACCGAGCGCCTTGTGTGCCGTCATCCCCGTTTGCCTCCCTCGTTCCGTTTTTCGAACGATTTTCCGAGAACGGTACCTAGGCTCGAACCCCGTCACATTTATTTTCGTGATATGTACTAATGTGAATTGTTATATATTAGCATATCAAAATATGTAATAATTCAAGTGAAAAGCATAAGATTTTATTGTCCTATCACGTTTAATAAGACCGAGTTGGACCTCGGATAACGTGTTTTTTGATATATCTAATGTTTAAGTCTTAAAGTATTGATATCAAGGCTTTCTTAACGTGTAATTTACGTGATTTCGAGGCTATGTTGTTATACGTACGTTTTGAGTTGTTAAAAGGCATGAAAACCCGAATTTTGAGCATCAGTTGTGCTCTGTTTTTGCCGACCAAGAAGCTGTTTCTTGGATAAGTGTTCTTCTTGAGTTTGTAGTGTTTTGAGTTAGGTTTCAGTGAGTTTGGAATTTTGTGATTTGGAGTTGAAATGGATTTATATGAATTTTCAAAGTTAGCCAAGCATGTAATTTTTATAAACTCGGACAAAAACTTTGACCTTAGTTCATGGCTGTTTTTGATGACCTTAACGTGCCTGCATGAAAATGCATTATTTATGAAACATGTAGTACATGTTATAAGCTTTATGTAGGAATTCAAAATCATGCAATTTGGAGTTTTGGTTGCATTTATATGATTTTTCTAAGTTGGTTTCATGCCCAGAATTTTGAAGTAGTGGTTGTGTGTATGCATGGAATGTATGCTCTGAATTGATGCCTTTAACGTGATTATATGTAAACATGCTCTTCATGAAAAATGAGCTTTCCTTGTGTAGTTTCTACAAGTTTTGAGTTTGTATGATTTGGAGTTCTATAACTTTAGTTATTGTTATTTTACTGAAGGGTTGTAAAATGTTCTTTTTCATTTCCGGACTGCAGCTATGTTTTGTGTAGTTGTTGAATTTTCTATGTGGCGATGTCATAATTTGCTAAAGTTGTCTTCATAAAAATTGTAGCTTTATTTCGTATCTTTCTATGAGTACCTGATTCATATTTTTAGCATGACTATAGCTCGATTTATCCTCAAAATGCTGCCACCTTGTTTGAATGTTTTCTACTGCACCCTTATGTTGAATGTTTGCTAATTTATCATGTAGATAATGACCTCTTATGATTTTTAAGTTGTTCTTGAGAGTTGTAGATTTATGTCTTAGGAATCACATGCCACTGGTTTCATGTTATTACGACTTATGTGCTGCTAGATGTGTTCATTTGAAAATCGTTGCGCATATCATGTTTTACAAAATCATTAGTTTGATTCCGAAAGTGGCACGCACCATCAAAATGCACGATTATATGACCTATGTGGTTTATTTCTTGATCCATGTAGTATGTATGATCCATGAATGTCTTAGCTGAGTATATTAAGCAAGCCGAACTATCAATTAACTAAAGACTTAAACCGAAAATGTTTTCAAAGAATGCAAGCAAGGCGAAGCCAAGGGTTTTCAAAGTTTATTTATATGTATAATACTAGAGAGTATAAGTTAAGCCTTGATAAGGTTCTAAGACAAGTCCCATCGAATGTAGGTAATTGAGGAGTCAAGCCTCGACCTACGCCCTTTGCTTGTCAAGTTATTTCAATCCGGAAATCCAGGTGGGTTAGTTATTCTAAAATACCTGTGCATATGTGTGTTTAAATATGTTTAACAAGTATGATTTATGTATGCATGCGAGCATGTAGCCTATTGATGTGAGCTTGATGGCCATCGGTACGGTTGTCCCCGTATGATGAAATACGGTTACCCTTACGAGGTAAATCTCATTAAGATCTATGAGAAGGCCGTGTCATTGATGTGGCACGAACTCCCATGTTTCATTGATATGGCATGGCTGATCTTTGATGAGCGTAGATGTACACATGAGTGAGTCTTTGATGAGACTAGAGTCATTGATGTGACTAGAGATGAGACATGATGTATTATTGTTTATGTTCATGCTGCGACCATACCATCTTAACATATTCTGAGTTGTTTCATATGCATAGTGTGAGTACAATATTTTCCAACTGTATTCACTCCCACCTGCTCTTCACGGATGCAGGTTAAGCAGTTGGCGGGTGACGAGACAGAACGAGTGGATGGTCTTGTTTCTTTATTTATGATTATTATTGCTTCCGCTTATTTATGATATTGACAGAATGTTGTTTAGACTTGGATTCCTTTCCTTCTTTGTTTTTGGGGATTTGATTATGTTTTTGACATTATTGCTTTGGAATTTAATGAATGCTAGTTAAATTTCATTAATTGTTCTTGATGAATAAGTAGCGCCCACTGAGTTTTAAATTTAATTTGAGATTTGCGAAAAATTAACTATGACTTTTATAAATAAATTCGATAAATCTTTTAAAATAAAGTGGGGCGTTACAAGAAATGTGTTGGGGGACTCAACCATGGAAGCTCAGCACGTCGCATGGTAAAAGGAAGTGATGGGAGTTGTTTAGCTCCGGGACCCTCTATTGGACTAAGATATAAAATCCTGGTTTGCTCAAGTCGCCCACTAGTTGATTATGATGACAGTTGGTGCAGTAGCAAACTTGAAGTAATCACGAGTTCATATGGTAGCAAAAGGTCGCAAGAAGAGTAGATGTTTTTATCGCCTACATTGCATCAGTGAACGACCTAGTAATCCTTTAACAAAGGTCTTTCTGGCGAAAGCAGATGATAGCCATGTTAAGGGATTGGGAGTCGGATGTATGACATTAATGAAAATAGTTCTTAGAGAATAAGATTGTAAGATGTATACTAAGAAAAGCGTGAAATTCGATTATAAGTGGAGGATTGTTGGTTTGTATACTAAAAGCTCGACTTTTTCTACAAACGTACTTTCAACGTTTTTTTTAATGAGAATCATGTTTAGTCAAAAGTGTTTGTTCTATTATTTTACATTATAAATAATATAGTTTGACGTGTCAAACATAAGTTCATATCTTTAGTTCCTTGTAAAATATAAAGTATGGTTCACAACTTATATAAAATTAAACAAACTATCGTGAAAGATTGTAGTGTAATTTTGAATTAGTTTGTATTAGCTATTGAATTGCACGAGTACATTTTGAATGTATTGAACGGACCATCGTGGATAAAATTGTTTTATATTGACCAAGTAAATGATCTAAACCTTAGTTATTAATCGTACATTTAAGCTGTAAGATAGTGAATGTCGCGTGCATTTAATATCTATTACTTTGATTTATCATAATGTGAGATTCATTTGATATGGATAAATGAGCTATGTGGTTGGTGTTGGATCTATGAGGATCGTCGCATTGTGCAAGTCATGAATTAATCTACGAATAAACTTATGCGCATTAGATCTAAAGTTTAACGTAGAAAACTTACGGCTTAAAAATCACAGACTCTCAAAAGCTGTAGATTTTCACTGATGGAGATTGGTTGATTCCATTCGCTGGAAAGGCTCGTCTCATCAGATGCTCATAGTCGCCGGGAGGTTGTGCGGGTCGAAGGGTAGCGGGGGTGCGGCTGTCCAGGCGTGTATTAGACGAGCATTTAATTCTCCTCGTCTTTCTGTTCTTAAGTCCCCATTACACTAATTTGTCGTAGTCTTGTTGATCAACTATCAACAAGTCTATCATTCGTGTATTAGACGAGTGTTGTAATAGTGCATTAATAAAAACAGAATGTTGTTTAAAACCGAGATAGTAACAAATAAGTCCTTCCGTACAGACAGGCAAAATGAAAGAACAAGGAGTTGAAAGAATCTATATTCCACAATTCTTCAGAAATGTTGCAAAGCAGAAAAACAAGAAAAAGTATCACATTAAAGCCATTGTAATAACTAGTGACCCCAGATATAACTGAAGAAAGAAAATTTAAAACATAAAAATCAAATCTAAATAAGATGTTGATCAAACCACACTAGCTAGCTAGTCAACCAAAACATCGCACCATCTCTCACAATCCGCCTCCAAAACGCTGTTTACACATTGCAAAGATAGCTGAAGCATTCGTTTAAGCCAACACGGATATCTTCATCCGTCTACCACCAAGGAAAGCAACATTTCTGCATTCACCAATTATTATACTACTTTCCATTGGGAAAANNAAAAAAAAAAAAAAAAAAAAAAAACAACGCTTGCGCATCTTAAGACAAAAAATTGATGAACTAACCTTATGTTTGTGAGAAAGTTGAGTGTATGTGGTGTTGTAAGAAGGATGCTTTGGAGTGGCCGGTGGATTCCCTACACTACCGGTGTTCCTTTCATTCCTCACTTGATTGAAAACATCTGTAAAATTTTCGGACGAAGGATCACTCTCATTCCACGCTCCGAATTTTGGGACAACAGCTCCTTTCCCGGGCTATACGGTATGCAGTGAAGTCATGAATCAGAAAACCGTGTAATCGAGCTTCTTTTACGCTATATATATGAGTAGTTTTGATGGATGGTTAATTCACTACAAGAAAATGATAAAATTCCAAAGGAAATATATTCAAATAGAATTCCAACAACAATTCCAATGGATATTTTTCAATGCTATTATTTCCGTTGAAATTTTTCCAATGGATTCTAACGAAAATTCAAAAAAAAAAAATTTCGTTGGAATGATTTTTCCATTGGAATTTCCGTTAGATTTTGACGATTCCAACGATAGATTTTCCAACGGGGTGGAAATAAATATTTCAACGAAAATTGCATATTCCAACGGAAATTCCTATGGTAAAAAGCCGTTGGAATCATCAAATTCCATCTAAAATTCCAATAAAAAACACATACCAACGGAATATTTTCGGTAGAATTTCCGTTGGAATCATTCCAATGAAAGCTATACCATTGAAACATATTACTTTAGAATTTTCCATTGGAATATAACAATTTTTTGTAGTGATTTTAGTTGTTTTATATGGATGATTTTCATTTCATACACACACATTCATGTCCACATTGAGATATAAAGAGCAGTTAAAAAAAATATGGAATCTTACAGTTTGGTCCCCTCGGGCAGGTCTAGTCTGTGACCTCACTGGGTTATGGGCTGGACTAGCGTTATTCGACCTAATTTCACGGCCCACCTTATTATAATGAGAATTGGGCCCACGACGGGTCCCATGATCCAATGACTGGTCACCGTGTTGAGGAGTTGTGGGCCTCACAGGCCCACTTGTTTGTTTTGTAGTTCGAGGAGAGGGATCAATATTATAATTAGGAAACATGTCGGGATTTTCGCAGGGATCATTCGGGTTTAACATTTTCCCTCCATTTCTGTTTTTCCTCGCATTATCGAAGCAGACTGTGTAAGGAATGTCACCATCCTTCTCCCAGTTTCCGAATTTCGGCACATTTGGGCGCTTTTTTTGAAAGAAGAAAAGAAAATTAAAGACAAGGGGAAATTTTATGATTCTCTTTGTCGGATTTAATTGGCATACAGTAAGTTAAGCAATTACTGGCAGGCTAAAATGAATATGTAACAGTTAAGGAAGTTGCAGCTCATGTAGAAGCAAAATTGGCAATAGAATATACAAATTCAGCAAATACATAACCAAAATCTTGACTGCTGATTCTTGAGTGGTTGTATAAAGGACAAATATTAATTTAAAGGACATTCATATTATAGTATGAAAAGAACTGGAAAACCAAGCACATTATAGTGAAAAACAACTAATTATACATGAACTCAGCTCACACAATAAAGGTAATAATTCATTAGAAGCGCAAAATAAAGTTGCTTGTTCACGCAAACTTAATTCATATATATGTGGAAATTTAAAAAGCTAGAAAAAATCGTGGCTAATTATTAACTTACAGCCATTTCTTCAGCAAGATCTTTAGAAGAGTCGATACCAGTAAATTATGGCTTCCAAATTCGACAAGAAATTTATCTTTAAGATCAAAACAGTATGAAATGAGATTAATAGAAGTTTATATACAAATAAACAAATTAACTGAAGAGAGATTCTAACAAGAGATGAGAGGGATGGTCAGCCATTGACGAGCACAAAGGTTGACTATTAGCCTGCTTTCTCTCCTCCATTACCAAGTCGTTACTCGTCTTGTTATATTTTAATATAAATAAATAAATAAAAAGTTAAAGTGAATTGGAATAAATAAATAAAGTCAATAATTACTCGTCCCGATTCTTGAGGTTTTGTTTCCCTGTGCAAGTAAGATGTCAAGCCTCCTGTCATTGTCGGACCAATGTGGAACTAAAATAATTTGGCACTTCTATTAGAACATCCATATTGGTCCATTTAATGACACCATTTAAATGGAATGCTCTTCCATGAGGTGACCAGTTCATTCAAATAAAAAAGCATTGGGCTTCACTGTTGTCATTCAGGCCTCGTTTACTAGAGATGATGAGATTAGACAAATTAATTTCTCCAATTTTCCACATCAAATTTTGGATACAAATTGTCCCATATTTATTAAAGTGGATAAAATTCTATGATAAATAATAAAATTACTGAATTAATTATATAAATTAATAATATTATAAATTAAATAATATTACTTTAAAATAAATAAAAATATTTTATGTTAAAAAATATTTTTTAAAATAAATATAATTAATAAAATTAATATTTTATAGATTAAATAATATTATTTCAAATTAAATAATATTATTTTAGATTACACAAAATTATTTTAAATTATATAAAATTATTTAGATTAATATTTTATAAATTAAATAATATTATTTATGTTAAATTAAATTATTTTATATTAAAAAATATTTTTTAAATTAAATAAAATTATTAAAATTAATATTTTATAGATTAAATAATATTATTTTAAATTAAATAAAAGTATTGTAGACTAAATAAAATTATTTTAAATAAAAATTATTTAAATTAATATTTTATTGATTAATAATACTATTTTAAATTAAATAAAATTATTTTAAATTAAATAAAATTATTTAAATTAATATTTTATAAATTAAATAATATTATTTTAACTTAAATTAAATTAAATTATATTAAAAAATATATTTTAAATTAAATAAAATTATTTAAATTAATATTTTATAGATTAAATAATATTATTTTAAATTAAATAAAAGTGTTTTAGATTAAATAAAAGTATTTAAATTAAATAAAATTATTAAATTAATATTTTATTGATTAAATATGTTATTTTAAATTAAGTAGAATTATTTTAAATTAAATTAAATTATTTAAATTGATATTTTATAAATTAAATAATACTATTTTAAATTAAATTAAATTATTTTATATTAAACAATATATTTTAAATTAAATTAAATTATTTTTTTTTTTTTTCCCAAAACGATAGATAATATTATAAATCAAAATGCACAAATGTGCGAATACACAGCAGCCAACGACTGAATACACAGCAGCCAACAGCTGAAAAAAGTGGGAGGACAGGTCAGAAGACCGCTTAGAATCCCGACTAGCAACGCTAGTATAAAAAACACTCAAAACTAAACTAACAAACAACACAAACAACTAAAACAAACTACAAGGACCCCAACAGGGTAATACCCGAGTGTCGGATCCCAACAGGATAATAAATTTGACACTAGGGCTCACAGGGGCCAACGACCCAAACCTGAAACACAATACACTCGCGACACAAATACAGACACATAAATAAAACACATAAACAATAACATAAAAATCTAAAATAGATCTAACAGCCCTTCCTCAGCGAACGAGCTAGCCCGAACCAACGGTGAACGATCGACACAAGACCAATCCAGGCCAAAAACCTACTACCGAAACTGCAATCAAGCCTATACAGCAGCAGAACCCTCACCCCGAACAAATCCCCGAATCGACCCATCTATAATCGAAAGAACCATTTTAACCCTCACACCGGCCCACTCGAATTCTTCTAACACCACTAGACGAGCCCGATAAAACCGATTCCCCCGCCGCCTAACACCACTAGCCGACCAGGGGATTGTGAGAGGGAAACGGACCCTCACCCCGACAACCGCAGCCACCGCAACCTGTGGCCGCAACCATCGGAGTCCCACCCAATCCAAAGACGCGCGCTCCACCCACCACCTCCACAGACTCCCCGATCTGAGGTCCAAGCTCCGCCTGAAAGGTAGAGCTCCGTCGGCAAGGACAGATCCCAACGATTGCAGATACAGTGGAAGAAGAAAGACGTACCTCCACCAGTTAGAGCTTCGCCGATGACGGAGGGGAGAGCCCCAATAGCGAGCAAATAGCCGACCGGAAGGGGCGCCATCACCAATTGAAGCTCTGTCCGCAACCTAGGGCAAGATCCCTAATCGAGTTTCAGGGTCGCGCGACGGCAGAGGAGGGCAAGACGGTCAGAGACGACCCCTAGCCGAGATTGCACCGTCACCGAGGAAGGCAGAACTGTCGGAATTAAAGAGGCTCGCCGGTTGAATATTGGGGGTAGGGTTTCGCAGATGAAATTGGGACGGGAACTCGTAGCAACAAACTCTTTCAAAATTCAATTTTTTCTACTTGGCAAGAAAATACCAAACCTTTATGAAGTATTGCAATTTTGTCTCCAAATCAATTTCCGGTCAAGCCACGCTGACGATCGAAATTTTGACGTGGCACCGGAAATTTGACCTGGCACACAATATTTTAAAGTCCGTACCACATCAGCTGACACGTAATAATCCACGTCACACTTTTGAATCCACGTCATATTTCTTTTTTTCTTCCTTTAAAGCCTTTTTTCCCTCATTTTGCAGCCCCATTAATCTGCTCCATCAATTTCCCAAATCCAAAATATATTTGATATGGGATATTATATAGCTAAAGAATAGACCGGTTTACCACATTGGTCGGGCAAGCTCGAGGTAGAGAAAACTGTATTGGTCGAAGGATAATTGACCAAAAGGGAAAAGATCGAGCAGAATAGCAGAACTAGTCGAGGATCGACCTAGCGACGGGGGACTCGGTCAGATCGAGCACTCAACAGGAGAAGAGCAGTCGAGAGTGTGGCTTCAACGCGAGAAAGCGCGTGGGTGGCGTTAGAAGATCCTAACGTGATGCGCAGAGAATAATCTCCCTCTGCTCAGAGGGACACATGGCGAGAGTACATTGGTGCAGAGCAATAGTGGTGATAACCACCTCTGACGCCTCTGACACACGCATACTGTGTGGGTACGGACGGGCACTACGCGCAGACAGCTCACCAGATCCGGGCAGCTCCTAGAGCAGGTACCTCACTCCTATATATATATGAGTGAGTCTTTTCTTGTGACTTACGATTTATCCATTACATACTTTGGAGAATTGAATAGAATATACACTGACTTAAGCATCGGAGGCTCTTCACCGGAAAACCCCTCCGGTGTGAAAGTTCTGTGCAGGTGTGCAGTGTTCTACCGCCGAGGAGGAGGAAGACGAGTTGATTTCACGCCGGTCGGAGTGTTTTGCGTTACCATTAGGCACCGTCTGTGGGACTTTCGTTCGAAAAGTGGTGTGTTGAGATTACTAAAGCTTGGTGGCTATGGCGGACGAAATTTCTAAGAGAGATTTGCAGGCGTCGTTCGACGAGGCATGGACGACAACGAGACCGTTCGGAGCAGGCCCCCCTCCGGGCTTCTCTTGACATATGCCTACACCGGTGACTCCTATACTGGTTCCGCAAGGTGTAGAAGTCACGCCGGTGCAACCAGAGGCCGATGTGGGCTCAAGCCGAGCTCAGGAGGCCCATACTACTCAAGGAGCGGCGATCCTGACGCCGCTACAACCAGTTCTGACCGTGGTGCCGCAACAAAGAGCGGTGGTGCAGGGAGTACCGCTGCCGCGTATGGAGGAGCAGCGCGCGGCACAACAAGTGGTGATGACCAGACAGAAGATGCAGCAGATGGTGGCGAACGTGGCGGCACAAGCGGTCCAGCAGGTCACCTAAAGCCTTTCTCGTGTGGCTGCTGGGCCGACGATGGTGGACGAGGATGTGACTAGTTATGGAGGAGATGGAGCTCTGCGAGATCGGGAGGTGGAGAGACTCACGGAGTAGGTGAGGCAGATGCAAGCCAAGATGGATGGCCGACCTGAGAGGCGTGCTCGAGGACACCCGTTCTCGAGTGACATAATGGTTGCAACATTACCCGCGAATTTCAGGGACATGAGTCTGGTGTTCAACGAGACTACTGACCCGTCGAGGCATGTAAGGGCATTTGAGAACTTGGTTGTGTTACATGGTTACTCTGATTCTGTTAGCTGTAGGGCATTCTTATCGACCTTGAGGGGAGGTGCGCTCGATTTGTTTCAGCAGCTCCCTCATGGATCGATCAAGGACTTCGACGATTTCGCGGAGAAGCTGATGACCCAATATGCGAGCGCTGTGGCGCAGGAGAAGACTATTTGACGCTGATGGCCATGAGGCAGGGGGAGAAAGAGTCGTTGCACAAGTATGTAGCTCGATATAATCAAACTTGTTTGGAGATCCCCACGGCCGCAGACAAGGTGAAGGCTAGAGGGTTGATCAGGAGTTTACGAGCAGGGCCTTGTCGAACATCCTTAGCCAAAACCCCTGCTCGTACGTATGACGATGTGCTGAAGAGGTGCAAGAATTACATTAACTTGGAGAAGACGGAGGCGAAGTTTATTAAGTTGGAGGAATTAGCTAAGCCGGAGCCAAAGAAAGGGAGGGCGAACTCGCCTCGAAGGGTGTCGCCAAAGAGGAGATCGCCCAGGAGAGAGGGGCGTGGCAGGATGGATCGTGGACGAGAGGATAGGTGGAAGGATCGACCAGTGTTTGGAGGGAAGCGGTTCCATAACTTTACGCCGCTGAATGCAAAGATGGGAGAAGTGCTGGTGGCCATCGAGAAGGAGATAGAGGACAAGGATGTGACGTGGCCGAGATCGAGGCATGAGGGGCCGACACAGCCTAGGTCGAAGAAGTATTGTCGTTTCCATAAAGATTATGGGCATACGAAGGAGAAGTGCAGACACCTCAAAGATGAGATTGAGCGCCTCATTCGGGCAGAGCATCTCAAGAAATTTGTGTATGAGGACAAGGTGAAGGGGAAAGATGAAGGGAGGTTTCG